CGGTGCGCTCACTGGCTGAGCGTGGTGCGGACCACACCATGCTAAGGGCTGCGATCCCCTTACCGGTCACAAAAAAGAAAAAAAAAAGCTTCTCCATTTAGACACTAGAGGGCACCCTCCCACCCCATCCTAGGAAGGAAAAAGGGAAAAACAGCCACAGGGTCCTGGAGAGGGCAAATGAGCCAGCCCTATGCATCCCAGCAGAGACCACATCCTAGGTGCAGAAAAGTGGGTATTGGGGGTGTTGGGCTCTCTCAAGCCTTTATCCCTGAATCTTCTCACACACCCCTCACTATCATGGCTAGGAAGTCATTTTTGTTTCTAGCCTCAAACCTCATGTGGCCTTGCATTAACTCTTAGGGAAGGGAGGAATTATTACGGAAAACCTGATTGGGAGAGGGACTGAGCCAAGGATGGAGGAAACCCAGGTTTCAGGTACGGCTGAGTGTGGGGTGAGAGGATTGGAGGGCCTGTGGTGTCACTGCAGTTTGCATGTGTGAGAAACTGGACCAGGAGGGGGTGGCCAGGATACTCAAGGAGGAACCACACCTAATCCATGGTGGCGGTTCAGCTTACCAGAGTCCCTGTTGCCCTTCAGGACCTCAGCCTGGCTGTCCTCTTCTTCCTCTTCGTCTTCATCCTCCTCCTCCTCATCCTCCTCCTCCTCTCTTGGATAGCCCAGCTCCCGCAGCTCGCCCAGCTCATCCTCTTCCTCCGAGGCTTGGTTCTCACTCAGGTTGCTGATGGACTGGAGGTGGGACTCAGCAATGCGCTGCACGGCTGGTGTAGAGGAGACCCACAGGCGAGGGTCAGCCAGGCCCGAGAAGCAGCCCGTGGAGCTGGAAAGGCCTGTGGCCCAGCCCTCTGACTCCTTCCCATGGGCCTGGGGCAGAGATAACCCCCTCAGGGCCCCAAGTTCAAGGGCCAAAAACTACAGGTTAATCTGCGGGGGTCCAGACCAGGGCAGAAGCAGCAGGGGATAGACTTGATCATGTTTGGCTCTTAAGCTGTCCCAAGATTCTGCCCTCCTGGAGGCTGGCACCAGGCAGCTTCTCCACACCATAGGGCACCAGGCTGGGCAAGACCAGGCGAGCACAGCAGCAGCTTAACATTCCCTGGCTGGGGAGCTTGCTCTGCCAAGTACCCAGTACTGGAAACAGTGTCCACCAAGCCTAACCCTGGGCAGAAGGTGCAGGGCCTGTGGTCCAGGGCCTGGGGATTTATCCCTTTCCATTTCTGGGAAATTTCTCCACCTGCTTAGGGCTCATGGCTCACCCTGATCCTGCCCCCATGCCGTGCTTAGTCCCCACCCTCTGGCACTGCCCAGTCATCGATGCCACTCTACACACCCCTGCCCCAGGCTCTGAAGGGTAGGAACAGTTCTGAGGCCAAGGACATAATAGTCTCCAGCTGGTGAAGTCCATGCCTGGGGATGCGGCACGCTCATATGCAGCCCCCACCATCTTGATCCACATCCCCATGCTCCCAGTTCTCTCTGCAGTGACCTAAAAAGCAGCACCTCCCCCCAAAACAAACAAACAAACAAACAAACAAACAAACAAACGGGGGGGATCGGGCCTAGGAAGGGAACAGTGTGAGCAGCTGGAGAGAAGTTTCCAAAAGATGAAAAGAACAGGGGCTTGGGTGAAGGAGGCAAGGGCTAGGGGGTTGGGGTGTATGGCAGGGGTTGAAGCGACACTGGGAGGAGAGGCTGCCAGGAGGTGGTGGGATATTAGAGCTTTTGGGACACTAAGTTCACAGGCCACAGACAAGATGCTGAGGAGCTACAGAGTAGGGGAGCGGCCCCTCCCCTCACAAAGCCCAGAGGGATAGATCCAGGCTGGAAACCTCTGGTGCAGTGAGCAGGGCACTGTGCTGCTGCCAACTCGGGGACAGGCACAGAGGGTGCATTGTGTGTGCGCTGCTGCCCCGCCCTGCCCTCAGCTCCCAGCCCAGTGCCTCCTGCTGGCTCTGGGCAAGCTACCCAGGCAATAAAAGTGCGATAAATTGCCCTGCCCTGGCCTTGGGGACGCGGCAAAGCTTCACCTCGAGCCAAGTGTGAGAGCTCCAGCCTCAGAGCACTCCCCTGCCCCAAGCCAAGACTCAGTGTTGTCCGTCCTCCTTCAAGGGCCCTTAATTCCTCCCCTAAAACCCCGAATCTTGCCAGGCGCTTTCCCTTGCCCAGAAGGGGGAAAAAAAGTGCCCTCCGGGTGCGAAAGGGCCCCTGAGTGTTGGCAGTGGGGGTAAGGGAGGAGAGGAGGTGGCAGCTCGGGCAGCTTCCCTCCCCCCCCGCCGGGGGAGGAGAGTTCAGTTCGTGAGCCACAGCGTGCTGTCGCCTGCCATCCTCCTGCGTGCCTCACTTCGCCTCCCTCGGGCCTTGCAGGGTCTCCCCCTTGCCCTTTCCAGGCTGTCTCCTTCTCTTTCTGTCTCTATTTCTGGGACCCTAAACTCCCCTCCCACCCCAAGACTCCCTTTCTAAGCCAGAAGGTCCCCAGCACAGTTCCAGGACTGCCCACCCCTCTCCTGACCCCTTTCTACTTTCCTGCCTCTCCGCACTTAGACTCTCCTCCCAAAGGAGCAGAGGAGGTGGGGACACAATTCTGGCCACTGCGGGGTGCACGAGAAGCACCTTGGCCCTAATGTCTCCACCCCAGACCACGTCCCCATGCTCACAGTCAGGAGCCTGGGCGAGTTTTTCCCTCTCACATCCACCCGGCTCTCCCCAGCCCAGCGCGGAGAGGAGAAGGATTTCTTATGTTCTCTCCTGAGAAGACGCCACCTCCTCCCTCAGTCCTGCTTTGGGACCCTTCCACACCTTCCTACAGGTGGGGAAGTCCTTCCAGGTGCTGAACCACACTGCCCGGTCGCTGCAGCTGTCCCTTCACTTTCCTGTTCTGGGGAAAGAGAAAGGAACCCTGCCCTTCTCTCCTCACCTCCCAGCCTCTCCTCTCTGCTCCCAACCCTGGCAGGCGGGCTGACAGGTGCACCTGTTGACCTTGGCAGGTGCTGGGAACTTATAAAACCCACCGTGAGGGAGCTGGCCAGGCAGGAAGAGCCGCAGGCAGGAGTGGAGGCTGAGGTGGGTCGGCATTAGGGCTTAGTTAGGAAGAGGAGCACCGCACACCCCGATCTGCACCTACGTCTCCTTCAGGTGTATCTCCCGCAGCTGCCTGGCTAGAAACCAAGTCTCCACGCTGGCCCTAAGGACTCCTTATGACATGCGCCTCCCCTTTGCACACCTTCCTGGAGTGCCCTTGCCTGCCCGTTGAATTCCTATGATCCTTCAGTCCAGGCTTAAACATCTGCTCCTCTGTGAAGTCCCCTTGACCCTTTGAGGCAAAGGAGGCCAGAGACCAAATCTTACTCCTCTGATTTTGCCCAGTGCCCACCAGTGACCTGGCATTCACTAGATGTTCAATAAGTGTGTGCTAAAGGAATGACTTGCCTGTTAATATAGACAGGAAAAGCAGGTAAGAGGAGTCCAGTATGCAGATCTGCGCAAATGCAAGGCAAATGGGAGGGGAGACAGGGGGTACAGCCCACAGGAGAAGGCGCCCTTTGATGAGTACGGGGTGGGAGGTGGTCCTGCATAGGCTTGCGAAGAGGAGGTGCAAACTGAGTCTGTTTCACGCTGATGCCTGCTCGTTATTCTGGGCCAGCCATCTCTCTTCTTTCAACCCCACAACCTGATTTTAAGGCCTACAGCTGCCCTTTTTGGCCTCTGGGCACCTCGTTTTTTGCAAGGCCAGATCAGGAAAGAACTGGTCTCTAAGTTGGGGTTGTGGTGCATGAAACCAACCATCCCTCCCCACTGACATTTCACCTCCCTCCCCCAGCGTCAGCCCAGTTCCAGGGATCAAGGGGACAGCCAGATGGATGGATAGGGGGACAGTACCTTTCAGCGAGGGGGGTGTGTAGGCACAGGGGTTGGGTCTCTTCGACTTGAGATGGTGCCCCTCTCCTGAGGCTCTCTGCCAAGGGAAGAGCCAGGTTAAATGGGCTCACCAGAAGCCCCTTCCCTTTACCCTCCCGCCATCCCATCCCATCCATGCAACAGGGCAGACTGGTCTAGCTTCTGCTAATGGGTCCTAGGAGAGGGCCCCCATAAACTGTGGCCTGGCTTGGGGCAGAACCCTAGGTCCTGGAGGTCCCACCTGGAGTCTGAGCAGGGGAAAGGCAAGAGCAGAAGAGGATCTGCTGGAGGCACCCTGGCACCAGGCACTCTTAGAGGAGTTACCAATTGATATGCTAATGTGTCCTCCAGGGAGGCATCCTGTGTGGTTGGTTGGCACTGCAGGCACCCATCCACCCCACTCCAAAGGGCCCAGGCATCCCTCCCTCCAGCTGCCCCAGGAAACCAGGAAACTCACCTGGTGCGGGGAGGCCTCCTCCTCTGAGGGAGGCCACCAAACCGAATCAAGAGAAGACAGAAGAGGGAGAGGGAGAGAAAGAATCTGAATTACTTTCCCCGAAGTCTCAATTTCTGGGCAAGGGAAAGTGTGCCCTTTACCTCCTGGTGTTGGGAGGTGCTGTGTCAATAAATGAACCCAGAAGAGTTGGGCCCCCAGACCTCATCAATTCCCCAGTCTTCAGCTCTGTCTCCTACTCATGGACTTTGGCAGGAAGGCATCAGAGTTAGGCTGGTGTGGGGAGTAGGGGAGGTGGTGAGGGAAGGGGCCCTACCTGGTGAGGAGTGCTCTGAGAGCCGGAACAGCATGGCAGGGGTTGGTCTCCGGCGCCGGATCTAAGGAGATAGAAGAGGGGGGCAGAAGGGACACCTGCAGCCGACCCCCACCCCACCCCTACCCCAGGCAGCAGGGAACAAACAGTGCCTTGGAGACCCCAGGGAACCTTTGAATAAAAGACCATCAGAACTGAAAGGAACTCTGTAGTTGAGCCAACTCCCTCATGTTACAGGGATCAAAATGAGCCTCAGAGAGGTTCAGCAACATGGTCGAGGCCATCAGCCCACCAAGTCCAAAGCATGAGAAAAGTCCTCGTCTCTGACTCCCAGCCCTCGCCTGTCCCACTCCGTGGCTACTCCAGAACAGGCATCTCCCTTTCTATCTTCTCTCACTGAGGCTTTTCTTTTCCCCAGTTTCTGAAGACATCAGACCTTGGGAGCCAAAGCTGGATATGGCTCCAACTGCCAGAGATGCCCCATGGTCCATGGCACCCACGTGACTCTGTCTGCCTAAGGTCACCTCAAGGTCTCCAAAGAAACTGGATCCAGCTGAAAAGGGAGGCTGAGCCAGGGTGCTGCAGGCACCTCCAACCTGACACTGAGGCTCAGGTGTGGGCTGGAGCCCCAGACCCACAGGGGCCTATGGGGTGTCTCTGGCAGCCTGAGTCTGTTAGTCTGTCTTAGGCTCCCAGTCCTTGTGAAAAATGAAAAGTTGCCCTCTTTGCTACATTAGCCAAGCTGAAGGGGGGGGGGGGGAGATCACTGAGCACTCCTAGCAACTGCCCCCCACCCCCACCAGCTTGGCAATCAGACCAACTGTCAGTTAATTAGGTCCCCTTTGAGCTCCAGGGAAATACACAAAGAGAACCAGGTGAGTTAAGCGGAAACTGCCGCCTCCCCCTGCCGAGCTCCCAACACTGCTCTCAAGACCAAAAGCTGCTTAGGCCCAGGGCTCGACCACCCGCACCCTCCAGCCCACCCTGTGCTCCGCCTGGGATGACTCGGCCCCGTTCTCACTGCTGGGTCGGGAGCCAGCTGCACCTCAGCAACAAGTGACCCCCTGCTGGGTTGTGGGGGGCAGAGCCGTCCGTCACACCCCCAGCCCCACCACGCCCCAACCTTCGGAGGCCTCCCAGCCCCCAGGACGGCTCTCCGGAGGACTCAGTGGTCTGTGGGAAGCGGTCTGGCTCCTGCGACGTCTGGTCACCTCTCCCTCCTTGGGGTTGGGGCTCCGGGGCCCGACGGCAGAGGAGGTCAGAACGTGGTTCTGGCAGCCCCTGCCCAGGCTTCACACGTTGGGACTAGAGAGAGGCAGGGCAGGGGGTGGCCCAGATGGGGGCCTCGCACGCCTGCTCCGTGGGATAGAGACCACGGACGACGTTTGTCACGTCTGACCAGCGGCAGAGCCGGAACCAGGGCGAGGGGTCCCGGCGTGGGGTCGACCCGCCCCGCGCTCTGCCGGGATCCTGCGCCCGGGATCGGGGCCGAGGACGCGGAAAGTTGCACGAGCTGCGGGCGAACTTCACGCGCCGCCCCGCGCCCCGCCTCGGCCGAGGCGCGCCCGGCTCCCTCCGTCCCCAGCGCCCGGCAGCGCCCGGAGC